AAGAGGTCAGATGATTAATTAGACTTTCTTACCAAGCTACAAGGCCTTGATGTCTGATGGCTTTTTTTTTTTTTTTTTTCAATGAAAGATGTCTAATGGCTTTTGTAAACCTTGGTCCGGTTCTATAGTGCTTAATTACAGTGAAGCTGTTTAATGCGAAAAGAATAAAGTGCAATCTATAGCCAAAAAGAAAACATAAATTGCACGTGATCTAAAAGGGAGAAAATTTACCATGTTGACGAAGAAGTAAGAAATTAGAACCAAAAAAAAGTAGTGTAACTAAGAATCTCCGTTTCACATATATGCTGAGTGAAAATAGACCTAAACTGTAATATCCGGGAAAATCTAATAATTAATAAGTAGAATTAATTATGGATTTTTCATAATTACATCGATAGATTCATAAGAAAATATTAGTACATGGTTTATAATGTGAAGTTTTGATATTAGTTATGAGATATGGTTATGAAAGAGAGAAGACAAAATATAAAAAGAGTCAAGTTTTGACTATTGAGCTTAAAAATAGTTTTAAGACTTGAAATAGTCTAATTTAATATACAATTAAGAATATAAAACGATATTGAATTATTCAAAGATTAAGATTAGACTATAAGTAAATAATAAAAGAGAACTCGTCGGAGAATTAAATTTTGTGTCGGTGAAGTAAATAATCTTCAACTAGAGTAAATTATATCTGTTTGGAGGAAACTTTTAAGATAAGTTTTAAGGTTTCACTTTCTGTCTCCTCTCACGCGTTTGTTTCTCTTCTTCTCGCACGTTCTCTCTCAAAATAAAACCGTCCATGGCCAAAATCTCAATTTGAGATTCAGACCTCCGTTTTCGACACAGCCAGTGTCAATGGAAAGCTTTCGACGAGCTGAGCATTTTGACAGGTCGCATGACCCCAAACTCCGCCAAAATAAGGTGTAATCGCCGGCCGAAGTTTTGAAAACAACCGAAACTTTTGATCGCAATATTTCCTTCGTCCAACCACCGATTGAGGTGATTTCAGTTGGACTCAGTGCAGCGAGACGAAGAAAACCCACTCATTTTCATAGCTCAATTATGGCCGGAGCACCACCTTCCGTGGTGGTCGGAATCGCCACTGCCGCCGTCGTTTTTCTCCCTCCAGGACGCCGTGGGTGTCACAACGCCTACCATTAGATTCAGAGTTAATAGACGAGTTGGTCCCAACTAGATTCAGCCATCACCGTCACCGTCTGGCAGGAAAACAGAGCTCGCCACCGCCGTTGTGATGGTGTAGGTTGGTTCCGACTATCAGACCGTTCGATCGTTGTGAGTTTGGTGTCAAAACACTCATAAGATCATGGGTAAGAAAACCCCTCAACTAATTTTAAGATTTCATGACCGGAAATGTGATATTTGAGTCGCCGGATTTTACCGCATTGCCGGTCCCGATATGTATCGTTACAGGCCGAATGGTGTGAAATGGACCACACCAATGGACTCAGAAGGGTCATAGGACCCAAGTCTGCCGTGGAAAAAGTCTCTGAGAGCCTGCGCCGCCGTACGCCGCCGTACACCGCCGCCGTATTCCGGTGAGGTGTTGTTTCTCAGGCTATCGATTTTCGTTTGATAATCCGAGATCATATCTCAACTCGTTTCAACGTGCTGAACGCAATGGTGACCTCCGCTGGACCAAATTCAATTTTGATAAAACTGGTATAGTACCAATTGCACGCGGATCGAGGTGAATCGAATGGATTCATTAAAGTTCAGAATTGAATGTCTAATGCTTCAATGATGCTAGTGGATCATTCAAAGCGTTTATGATTTCTCCTGGAACGGATATCAAGTAGATACGCAGTGAAACACGACAAGTGGGTATTACCGGAACCGCTTAGCTCAGAATTGAGGCAAGTACCGTATGATTAATGATAAGTCATTTAAAACATATGATGTCCATGAGATATGTTAATTATGAATTCACGAACTCGTAAAGACAATTATGGAAGATAGAATTATGAGGATTTAATTAGTCCTTATAATAAAAATTATAAATTTTTATGATCCTTAATAAAAATGATAAATACGTTCTATAAGAAAGGATTTAATTTTTTTATGCCTATGCTACATAAAATGGCATACTAAAGGTTAATCCACCCTCTGAATGGGTGTTTATTTACAGAACTTAGCAGTAAATGATAGAAGATCAGGGCGAGTAAAGAATTATGCTATAACAGGAAAGCATGTAAGTACTAGTAGTTTGTTTTTGTCTATGACACGAACGAACTTAGGGTTTGTTCTTTTGGAGTTTAACTTGAGTTGAATTTGAGTTATAACTTGAGTTGAACTTGTAACTTGAGTTTGTGTTTGGTTGTGTACATTTGAGTTATGGTTTGAGATAAGAATCTTTTTGAGTTTGTGTTTGAGTGAGTCAAAACTTGAATTTATTTTTAGACAGTATTTTAATAAAAACTCAATGCTGATGAAAATTTTTAATATGGTATATGGGTCGGTTTTATTCATCTTTTCATTGTCAACGCATAGAAAAAAAAATCATCTCAATCAGAATTAAAACGAAAAAGTTATAGCATTTTTAAGAATAGAAAACATATTGTTCATTAATTTGACTTCGAGTTTCTGAACTCGAGTTGAAGGGGAAACCTGAACTCAAGTTTTAGTCCTAAACTCGAGTTTGAACTCGAGTTTAAACTTAAAAGAACATGAATTCGAATAAAGTTGTAACTCGAGTTGCCTTTTTTTGAGTTTTTCACTCAAAAGAACAAGCCCTTATTCTTCTGTGTTGCACAGAATTGTGCATATTACATGCTCAATGAATGTTAGAATAAGAATGGTGTTTCGTGAATAATGTATAATGCTATGAATGATTCAAGATGTATGATGTTATGAATGTTTTAAGATGTACGGTGCTATGAATGTACTTATGGACCGTAAATAGTAGTAGAATTTTACTCTACGAAAAGTATGAGGTTAAGTCAAAGACAATTTCATAGAAAATTGATGGAAATGCATTAAATTGCAAAATAAGATTGAAATTATTGTCATGCTGAGAAAAGATGACAGTAAAATGACGTATAAAGAAATCATGTTGAATTATTCAAAAATGCACAAACTCATAAGATTTAACTAAAGTTACCGTTTCAATGAGAAAATTGATAAACGGTAAGAGACTAAACATCCTGTTTGTACCAGCCTTCGAAGGAAAGGTTATTATGAGACTATGAAAGAAATGAAACCGTGACTGAGCTGGATTGGTTAGCTACACCACTCCACATTGGTTATGCGCGCTATGGTACAACAGGACATGGCCCATAAGAAGTAAAAGACAAGAAAATGAAAAACAGAAACCGTTCCATATAAGGGTACGGTATCTGTAAAGAAGAAAGAAAAGAGAGAAAAACACATTATGAAAGTTGTTCAGAACGTGAAAATACAATGTGAACAACTAAAAAAAGACAAAAATTGAACAAAGTACATAATGAAAGAAGAAGAACATAAGCGATATACGTTCTAGAAGTACATAATGTCTTAGGATATATGACATGAATGTATATATGAGTATGCATTATTGTATGCTTTTACTATGGCCTACTGTTACTTGATGAGCAAAAGCTCATTACGTTTGTTCGTGTTGTAGAAAGTTCGGGTAAGACACCGGCTCCCTGAAACCTATATGCTGGGCATGTAGAAAATGATGAAGCAGTGAGATGTGGGCACGTGGGCAATAGGATCTACACGCAATTGGTAAACGCTGCAAAGTGTTTTAAGTAGACCATATTTATGGATATGGTTAGGTTATGTAATGCAAATAAAGATCACGGGACTATGAGGTTATGCATAGCAACCTCTAGTCACAAGGTATGATTGATGAAACAGAATGCTACAGCATTTTATGAATAGTTGAAAACAGAATGCTAGTTAAATGCTACAGCATTTAGACTTATAAATGGAAAAAAAAAATTAGCCTAAATTTTTAAGAGGTTATAATTAGAAAGTAGTAGAGATTAAGTAATGCTAAGTATGAACGTAGAATGATGATCAAAAGTTAGAGTTGTTACATAAACAAAAACTGAGTTTCTGGTAGCAGATTTACAAAGATATTCTTAGCTCTTTTTATTCACCAAAAAAAAAAATGTGTTCTTAGTTTTTCGTTGAATATTCTAGAAGCTTTTTACTTACTTACAACAAGAAATATTCTAAATCTCACCGCAAAAAAGATACTCAAAATATCTCAAAACTATATTTCTTATATGTTGATAGATTCGTATCATGATTTGAATTATAATTCGTAGTTCGTTATAATGTTTTCTCTCATAAAAAATACACGTAAATTGAGAATAGTTCTGAATCATAATTTTAAATCTATAAACCAAACGTCCACTAATCCTTTCAGTCACTTGTCCTTTATAATTGTTTTTGTTCCTCATCCAATCATATTGTGCCATGAAATTTCTTCCATTAGCTGATGGTGGGTTATTTTTGCTTTTAATTGTGAAAGTTCATGACCTATACAAATTAACGTATAGAGAAACTTGAGAAGGTTACGTCAAAGCTCTTGAGTATGCCGTGGCTCGTGGGCTGAACGGTTCTAGCGACACTTGTCTGTTGCTTAATAAAGTCAAGGCTAAAGACTTCCAAGCCCTCAGCCCCTCAGCAGCAGTGGACACCGGTGCAGTGATCAATTTTGATTGATGGAACTTTATTTTGATGTCATTTATCAAGCAAAAATAATTGTCGCTACATTACAATATTAACTAACCTTCAATACAATAAATGTTGGAATAAACTATCTTTATACCCACGTGTAATGGATCAGGGGAAATTAGCTAGAAGCATATTGATTTTTCTCCACAACGCTAAATTCCAACCTATCCTTATGAAACCTCAAGTTCCTAGGAAACTGCTTTTTAAGATTATTCTTTATCGATCCTATCTACTTTCTCCTTAGTCACTACTGTGGTCTATAAATTTACTGCCAAAAAGCTTTTCTTGGCCGTTTCACCCAAAGTTAAACCATGGCCGCTTTGTTTGTCTTCTACGTTTTCTTTGCGGCAATTACATCCTCACTTTCATCTTCAAAGGCCCATCTTTCTCTAAGTGAAGGATCATCCCTCTCCGTTGAAAAAGCAGACGTCGACGTTTTAACCTCACCAAATGGTATTTTCTCAGCTGGTTTTCATCGCATCGGGGAAAACGCATATTGCTTTGCTATATGGTTCAACGATTCAAACCGCACCCTAGTTTGGATGGCAAATCGAAATCAACCAGTAAACGGAAAACGCTCAAAGTTGAGCCTACTTAAAACTGGTAATCTCATATTAACGGACGCTGGTTCGATCACCGTTTGGGCCACTGGCACCGTCTCACTGTCACGAACCCGGTTATACCTCTACGACTCCGGTAACGCTGCTTTACTCACTCTTGAAGGCGTCGTTCTATGGCAGAGCTTTGATTCGCCGACGGACACGCTTCTTACGGAGCAACCACTCACCAGAAACTCAAAGCTTGTCTCATCAAGAAGCCAAACAAACTTTTCCTCTGGCTTCTACAAGCTTTTCTTTGACAACGATAATGTTCTCCGATTAATCTACGATAGTATTTTGCTTTCAAGTGAGTATTGGCCTTCACCTTTGCTTCTGAGCTGGGATGCAGGAAGGTCAACATACAATAATAGTAAAACAGCTGTGCTAGATTCCTTGGGAAACTTCAGTTCATCTGATGATTATACGTTTATGTCCGCGGACTACGGTGTGAAGATGCAAAGAATTTTGCGGATCGACTATGATGGTAATGTTAGATTGTACAGTCGGAAAAATCTTGAAGATAAATGGGTTGTAACATGGCAAGCCTTTTCGGATCCATGCAAGATTCATGGCGTTTGTGGGGCTAATAGCTTATGTACTTACACTCAAGCTTCTGGTAGGAAGTGCTCTTGCCTTCCAGGGCATAAAATGAAAAATCATACAGATTGGTTATATGGGTGTGAGCCAGAATTCACTCTCTCTTGCGGGAAAAACAAGTCTAGATTCCTCAAGCTCTCCAACACCGAGTTTTACGGGTATGATTATGGTTACTTCCCCAACTACACCTTGAGTGCTTGTCAAGATCTATGCTTGCAACTGTGTAACTGTGTAGGATTCCAATTCTCATTTTTACAATTAAAGACTACATCCAATCTTAACTGTTACCCAAAGACATTGTTGCTTAATGGACATCACGAGCCGAGCTTTCTCGGAGATATCTATTTGAGGCTGCCCAAAACCTACCTCCTCTTTTCCGGCAAAAGTAGCCTTGATAAAGAGTTTGGATTGAATTGCTCGGGCGAAGTGACTGTTACTTTGGACAGGACGTACACAAAAAGCCATGTGAATGAGTTGGTTAGATTTATGCTATCGTTTGCAAGTGCAATCGGAGCATTAGAGTTCATTTGTGTTCTTTTGATATGGTGTTTGATTAGAACCCGACAGAACTCAAACTCAATTATGGGCGATTACAATTTTGCGTCGACCGGGATCAGAAGATTTAGCTTCACTGAGCTAAAAAGAGCCACGTTGAGTTTTTCTCAAGAGATTGGAAGAGGCGCAGGAGGCGTTGTTTACAAAGGCGTCCTATCCGATTCTCGGGTAGCAGCGATCAAACGACTCAATGAAGCTTACCAAGGAGAAGCTGAATTCCTAGCGGAAGTCAACACCATTGGTAGGCTAAACCACATGAACTTGATTGAGATGTGGGGATATTGTGCCGAAGGAAAGCATAGGCTTTTGGTCTACGAGTACTTGGAACATGGATCGCTGAAACAAAACTTATCTACTAAAGTAGTTAATTGGAATAAGAGGTTTGAAATTGCTGTAGGGACAGCGAAAGGCCTTGCTTATTTGCATGAAGAGTGCTTGGAGTGGGTTCTTCACTGCGACGTAAAACCTCAAAACATTCTCCTCGGCTCGGATTATGAGCCAAAGGTAGCAGATTTCGGGTTGTCTAAGCTACTAAATAGAGGAGAACTAAGCGATGCAAGTTTCTCAAGGATTAGAGGGACAAGAGGCTACATGGCTCCAGAGTGGGTCACCAACCAAACCATAACATCGAAAGTGGACGTCTACAGCTACGGCATTGTTTTGTTGGAGATGTTGACTGGAAAGAGCCCAAGTTTACATGAAGCTAATGGCGCGGAGGACAACCAGAACGGAGGACTAATTAAGTGGGTGAAGGAGAAGGTGAATGGAAGTAACGAGATGTTATGGTGTGTGGAAGAGATCATGGACCCGTCTGTTGAAGGTGATCAATGTGATAAGGAAAAACTGAGGATTCTATTGGAAGTGGCATTGAAATGCGTAGAGGAAGATAAAGGCGCAAGACCTACAATGAGACAAGTAGTTGAGATGCTTCAAGATGATTAGGTAGGTTATTGGCAATTTGTTGTACTTATAATAATACAGTATTTGTTGAATTTCTGGCTGTTTCAGACTATATGTGTGTTGTTTGTCTTAGGTTTGACTTTGTATGACCAATATTTATGTGTTCATAATGTATCTCTATTTGTCGTTTATATATAGTGTTCGACAGTGTGTTCGGGTGAGTTCCCCTTTTTCTTTTTTTATTGCGCTTAAGTGGCGGCTCTTTCAATTTAGTATCACTCAAATCTGACTTTTTACCTAAAACATCCCCGTTATTATCTCATTTTAAGATGCCAATCTGATAGACACGTGTTCAGCTTCTGTAGAGTTATTTTTTCAATTTTTATAGTAAATAAAATTGACTTTTCAATTGTATATTTTTTTTTCTTTTTGTTGGAAAAGCTAATTTCACCTTATTCGACTCTCTCGTTAATTAAAACAAGGGGATGCTTGGAATAGGATGACAGTAAAACACCAACAAAAACTGGAGGAAGCTGCCCATTTGCCTCTTGCGAGCCGAACCAAGTCGCATATTCACAATTGGGTAGAAATATTAATCAGCTACTAACAATTAGTAAGTTTATTTTCTATTTCTAAAAATGGCACCGCGTGTAAATTCTTTCTAAAAATAAAAAATTCGATTTGGAAGCATATATTCCTCTGTACACCATAACGGCCAACAAAAAAAAACAAAAAAACAAAAAAAGGAAATCCCCAGTACTGTAATTATGTGAATTCTTTGTGCTTGACTATCATGTCTTCTTGATCAGGTGCTGACTAAAACTACCTCAATTAGGGTTCCAATTTTGACTTCCCTTTTCTTTCATAAGCCAAAATGCTGGGTTAATTTCGCCGAATTTTCGCTGGGGGCATTCTGACCAATTTTCAAAGTCCCAACTTTTTGAAGCAAAGATATTATCCACTGTTGTATCTCCATACTATCCCTGATTGTAGGTGGCTTAAAAATAATTAATTAACCTAATAAACTCTAGGTTTTTTCTGCGATCTTTCAGTAGGACCGATGCTATACATATATGACAAAGTGTAACAGGACATCTATACACGTGTAATATATAAAGGCTAAGTTATAGGAATGAATTTAGGCCTCGTTCATTTTATCGATTTGAGTTTTCAATTTCAGTTTTCTTACAGTTAAAAACTCTAACAAAAAGTATCATCTAATTTTTTTGTTACAGTTAAAAGTTCTCACATAGAGTCACTGTTGAGTGAAAATATTTATTAAGGTTAAAATAATATTTCACACACAACATAATTTCACCTATACTAGGATTTAATTAATATAGGAGTTTATTATTTTTAGTTCGACCCATCCAAGATTATAAGAATAACCTCTTAATTACAATCCCTTGGTACAAGGGAATACCTTTTTATTCCAGTCAAAACAGTAAATTCTATTTTCTGTGAATTTAGAAAATTTGGGTTGATTTAAAATTACAGCTGAACTCAGTGAATTTTGTCGAGTTGCCTACATACCCCGTTAAGGGATCAAGCCACTTGTAGTTCGAATTTTGGATTTACGAATTTGGATAATTCCTCGGTGTATGACCTTATGAGTAATTTACGCACTTTGAAATTTGATTTAGTTTTGTTTTGACTTTGTCCTTTATGAGGATTTTTTTTTTTTAAGATTGAAATTGGTCTTAGAACTGCACCTAAATTTTAGGTTGCCTACGTATCCCATAGGGAATTAAGTCAATCGTAGTTCTTGTTTTGGTTTGAGAATTTGGATAATTCCTCGGTGTATGACCTTATGAGGAATTTACGCACTTTGAAGTTTGATTTAGTTTTGTTTTGACTTTGTCCTTCATGAGGATTTTTTTTAAGACTGAATTTGGTCTTGAAACTGCACCTAAATTTTAGGTTGCCTACGTATCCGAGAGGGAATCAAGTCAATTGTAGTTCAAAATTTGGATTTGGATTTTGGAGAATTCCCCGATATATGACCATAGGAGGAATTCAAAGATGTTTTAAAATTCGATTTGAAATTTTACTTTAGAGTTTGGATTTGAGAGTTGTATTTGGATAATTCCCCGGTATATGACCTTATGAGGAGTTAAAATGATCCTTTTTGAATTTGGTGTTGAGATTTTTTTTATTTGAATTTGGGATTTGAACATTATATTTAATCACCATATGGTTTTATGAGACAATGGGCTCATCTTTTGAATTAAAGGGCCATAGAGGGGCCCAATTTGTGCACTTTAAATTTTAGAGTATTTAATATTCCGAATTTATTTTGAGATTATTGTCTTTTCTCTATTTTTTTTATTTTCAAAATTCAAAATCAAATCTATCATTTGAATTGGATTTGTTATGATTTGATTTGTTTTGACTGATCTTCTAATCTCAAGAGGAATTAAAATCCCTAATTTTGCTAACAATTTGATTTCAAAGAAAACTCAAACTTCTATCACCCTCCCTTTTTCTACAAGTTTCCTCTTCTTTTAAATATATATATATATAT